ACCATTGTTTTCCATGAAAATAAGGTTAAAGGATAAGGGTTATGTTTAGTAGATGTGAGTTAAACTAGGATCCACACACTGAAATGTAAAAACGTCAGCAGAGTTATTTATCGACTGATAAAAAATGGAGCATGTGTTTATTTTGAGCTATAGTCAACAAAAGAAGTGTATTTGCATCAGGAAATTAATTTTTCAGTTTAATCAAAACGTTTCTGACAGTGCTGCAAGATGTATAAACTTGATGATACTTAGAGAACAGAAACAATAACTAAATCTATTAACAAATTTAATTTTTCGATGTTTTTTTACAGTGTCATACCTCTAAAGGTGTGAATATACATGATTATTATCCATAGCATGGGCAACTGAAAGAAATTTCTTTTAAGAATGACTACTTAAACCAGTAATTTAAATAGTATCAGTCCCTGTAGTTTATGAGTCTGAAAAAAGTATCTGCATTAGAAACTAACACTAGGAACAAACAACCCATATAACAATAAACTTCATTAGAATACTATGTCTAGTCATTAAACTGTTCAAAAATAATCAACTTACTAATAAAATAAATTCATTGTCAATATCTATGAAGCTAAAATAAGCTTACAAAATTTCTATAAATGAACGTATGTTTCAGTAGATTACAGTTAAGTCTTATTGCGAGAGAGGGAGTATAAAAAAAATAAAGTAGATTACTATATGTTCCCTTTTTATACCAACGTTTTAGAATATGAAGCATTACTATGTATCTTTTAGCTGATTTACTGAATACATTGTAAAAATACATTGGAACTTAAATATATCTGAAGCATGATGTGTAGTTAAATTGTTATATATATATATATATATATATATATATATATATATACGAAGTTGATACACTATTTGATTCATGGAATACGAGACAACGAATTTTATCTTATATTAGAACAACATAACGAAGTCTTATTGAAATGACCAAGTATTCATTTTATAAATAAAAAAATAAAATATCAGTAAGGGGGTTTTGGCTATTATTAAGTTTTTGATTGAGATCATGAATCGATTGATGTTAGACCATCATTGAAAACCTGAAAGAACTGAACGGCTGTTTCGTCCTAATACGGGACTCCTCAGCATTGTGCATTCACGATCCCGCTCACGGGATTCAAACCCAGAGCCTTCAATCTCGCGTGAAAAAAATATTTTTAATATCTCAGTGAGTAGAAAAAATTTAATTTTCTGACTTTTCGCTGTGGATAAAATTTTCACTAACCATTAAGTCGATATTAGAAATATCAAAATATTACAAAAACGCTTTTACAACAACCAAGAAAGGTGAGTAGCTGAAACTTTCTATATATTGCTAAATCCTACTAACTTCAATAGATAAGTTCTTACCATTCATCAGACATGACCCATTCATCCAATTTACTTTGTCTAGTTCTATTCATATCACACACTATTATCATTCATACAAACTCAACTATATTATTTCATTCAACTAATATCACATTTTTCACATATTAACATCCACACAAATACACAAACATATTTCACACAAAAAACACTTTGACTGAAGTGACATGACATTGACTTAGTCAGATCTATTTTTTTTATTGATCGTACTAAATATTTTTGTTTTGTTCATTTGTACTATTTAAACGTCGGTTAATTCAATTTGTTAATTTATTCCTTGAAGAGGTGATTTACACGGAGTCATGAAACGTCAAAACATTTAGTTCCTTTTTTTACTCATGAGGATATTACAAATATATTATTTATTATTAATAACAATCTACCCAGTACTTAATATTATTTGTAATCAATAAGTTAAACTATATTAATGATAACTATTCATTTTATATTTTTTATTTAGTTCTCCAAGTAATTAATAAAATAATTCAATATATTAACTATTTTTCTATGCATTTTATCCATAAAATAATCAATAAACAGTCCAATCAACCGATCTATTGTGATTATAGTCTGTACATGAATGTAACCGATAAGTCCATTTCCTTCTTTGATACCTTTCTCATATAATTCAATTATTCATTTCCTTTTTAATTATCTTTCCTTCAACAATTACTCATTAATTTGATCAACAGGAATCTGTTAAATTATTATTCTATATCAGTTTTATAGCATTCAGTCAACTTATGTCATTCAATTTGTTATATAGACTTATATGTAACATAATTATTTGAAATCAAAACAGTTGTTGATAGGATTTCTAACTGGAAATAAAGTTATCATTACTGGAAAATATTCAGTTGTATAAATTCTTTGTAAAGCAAGGGCCTCATTCTTACAATTGAAGAACATATGGAACTCAAAACAACTGTCTATCAACTAATATCAAAGTCAGAATCTTCAAAACGACCATCAAGCTAGTTCTACTGCACGAAGCTGAAACGTGAAGAACTACCATCATCAAGAAGGTACAAGTATTTATAAATAGTTTTCTACGCAAGATACTCAACATCCATTGGCCGGATACTATCAGTATCAGCCTACTGTTGAAGAGAACGAACTAGCTTCCAGCTGAAGAGGAAATTAGGAAAAAACGATGGAAATGGATAGAACATACACTACGCAAATCATGAAACTGCATAACGAGACAAGCGCTAACTTGGAGTTCTGATGGGAAGAGGAAAAGAGGAAGGTCAAAAAACACATTACGTCAGGAAATAGAAGCAGATATGAAAAGGATGAATAACAACTGGAAAAAGCTGTAAAGAATTGTCCAGGACAGGGTTGGATGGAGAGTACTGGGGGGAGGCCTATGTTCCTTCCCGACGAGTAACAGGCGTAAGTAAGTAAGTGATTACAAATGCTTGGTGAGAGGATTAAATTATCTACAATGTATTATATCGGTCATACAATATACATAATCAAACTTTTCACTGGTACATACACTTAAAAATATTGTTCATTTTCTAAATGTAAAGATGATTTCATACTTTTGATTCAGTCAAAGTCACACGTGCAGTTAAAAAGCGTTTACCAATAAAACACGTGAATTATGACGATTATAAATAAAATAAAACAACTTTAAAATAAACATTGTTTATAAAATAAAAACATTCTAGAAATTAACCCGAAAAATCTGGTGTGAAAACCGTTCAAAAGATACGTAAATTCAAACAATTGATGTAATTTTAAGGTCCTTAAAAATAGTTTACTACCATTCAGTAAAATCACTGAAAATAAATTAACAGTAGATAACTATTTTGTTCCAGTCTAAAGCTTCCGAGCACCCTAAACACATAACCTAATATGATGTCGATCTTAAAGACCTATTATTTTGCGATAAAAATCTGTTTGAGATGGTGAAGATTCGTAGCTCAGGTAGATGATTTTGATAGAGTTTTGTTCTCTCAGCTGGATAGTTCTGTCGTGGAGCTTTCATCGTTCCTCTGAACGACATCATAAGCAGCACAAACCTCAGGTAGATGTTTGTGCTCCATGAAAAACATCTGTTTAAAACAATTAATTAGAATCTGAAATTTCAGAATTTTCGGCTTTCATATCATTTACTCTAGACGTAACAAGAACACAAGAATAAAAATTGTAAATCACTTTTCAAGTTACAAGTACATGCTACTAACAAATTTAAAACCAAACTGAAACAATTCATGGGCAACCAATGACTTTTTTTGTAGTCGTACAGTGGATATTACTTAGTGATGAAAATTTCCCTTCAGTTACATTATTCGGAAAAGATTCATTAAAATAAGAAAATGGAAATCTAAGTTTTAAATAATAAACAAAAAAAATAAATAAACTGTACAATCTTTATTTCATTACACTGGTTTAGGATAATTTCATGAGTTTTCATGAATTTTACACTGGCTTAGGTTAACTTCATGAGTTTTCATGAATTCTTATATAGAATTAATGCAATAATTACGTAATCTGATTTAATCTAGTTAAGTTGTAATAAAAAAAACGAATATCATATTGAATTCATCGCTATAAAATCGAACTCTTGGTAGCTATTATTCAAGGCTATAGAAAATTATCGGAGCAAAAGTTATTGAAAAATTCCATCTATCACATTTAAAATATTTTTTTCAAATAAATAAATAAATGATAATAATATTGGTTGTATTTATACTATTAAAGAAACTTTACAAAACTTAAGTATTTCTGTACATTGAAAATAATTATTTCAATAGTTGAGTTCATGAGTTAATGGAAGCTAAACCACTATGAGAAACCTGGAAGCACAGAACGGCCGTTTCATCCTAATGTGGGGCTCCTCAGCACTGTGCATCCACGATCCCCTCCGTCGCAAGATTTGAACCCAGGACATATCAGTGTCGCGCGCGAGCGCTTAATTACTAGACCACTGGGCTGAAATCCAACGGTGTTAGTCTAACTTCAACTAATCCACGAAATATTCATTTTCTCACTAATGACTGACTTGAAGATGTATATCCTGGAGTTCTAGTGAGAAGCAGTGATCAGTGGAATTCAACCGAATCTGTCGTGAGATAGTAACTCACTCAAGACAATACTGAATGTGTCGCTAAATTTTGTGGATTAGTTGAAGTTAGACATTAACAACGTTGGATGTCAGCCAGATAAGTGGTCTAATGGTTAAGCGCTCGCGCGCGACACTGATATGTCCTGGTTTCGAATCTCGCTTGAGGCGGAATCATGGATGCGTACTTCTGAGGAATCCCACGATAGGATGAAACGGTCGTCCAGTGCCTCTAGGTTTCCATGGTGGTCTAGCTTCACTCATGATCTCAAATATTGAAATTACTAAAATCTCCACACAACGCCTTTTGAAAATAATTATATAGTAATGTTTTATTTGAATGTTGATTCTACATATTTTACAAACTGTACACATAACACAAATGAGTTATGATACTTTATCAAATTATTCATCAATATTATAGAAAATAAGAGGGTTTTTTTAATTTGATTATCAACAAATAGAAAACAATCAATTTTAGATGTAACATAAGTAATCTTTAATTATTTTATTTTATATTCTAAGTTTGTTTTTATTTTTATTTAATTAACTTGAAGAATTTTACAATTGGCTAAAAGACAACACTATGATGCATAATCACTCCCCCCCACATTGATTTAAGAACCAATCAAAAAATGCTGCATATGAAAGCATATTTTTTAACACAGTATTTTATGTCTTTAGCCAATTGCTTATTCAACCATTCAATTATATATGTCTACGTCCACTTACATTATACCTATGATGTAATAATTAGTCTTCGTTTGTATAACTGTTAGTATCACAACTCTATAAAAATGTCTGTCATCATTGCTACCAAAACTGTTATTAACACTACTAACCCCTTTTGCATCATAATTATATTGGTCCCTACTAAGACCAATATCATTTAAGATTTATATATATATATACTAAAATAAGTCTATATAACAAATTTTTAGTGTATAAATTAACTTCAGCTCAAAACTAATCAGTTATATTATTTAGAGTAACTAGACTTTTAAAAGAATATGAAATTGTAAGTCTGGTACAAATATTACTCTTCATTATTATTTTTATTAATTATTCTAATGGTTATCATTATAGTGGTTTAATGGAGATGATAGAATTTCCATAGTTTACATCATTCAATCTCAGATGACATTATGATTAGGTACTGTCAAGGAGTTCCCTACTTGAACTAAATATCTATTCAGTACTTTTGGAATTTCGCCGATTATTTACATGAGATATATGGATGATGTAAACTGTGATTATTCTAATAGTTATTGCTTTAAAAGTTTTATAATATCTCAAGGTATTATAGAATGTGAAGATTACTTATTCATATATTAAATAGAATAGCAAGAATTATTATGTAAATACTTGTTTCTATTTTGTGTAAAGAAAAGTTTGGAAATGTTCTGCTTCCTATCCTCATAGCCTTTAACTTAAAATGTGGTAATGTTAATATTTCATGTGGAACTGACAAACAAATGAGAGACAAAATATCTAATAATATGAAGTATAATAATTGTGAATAAACATGTAAACTGTTCAAATTGAATCAAACTCTAGATAGATTTGTTTGACTAAATTTGTAAATGGATAGTTAATGTAGAGTTTTTCTTGAAAATAATAGGTTTAAATTGATTTTAACTGATTTAAGCAGTGACGAGATTTTTTAAACAAAGATGGATAGTGGCTAGTAGTGGAATCTAGGATGTGTATTTCGTCCAAGTGAAGTGACATGAATAATTACAGGCTTGTTAAATACAATGATTTTTTTATACTTTCATTTATGAAATATTGACGGCATTCGTAAAAGAATCTAAAATCATAATCGAAAGATTTGGCTACAAAATGTATCAGCAAATATGGTTAATAGTGATACGTATTTATGCGTTGAAAATAACAATAATAATAATTAAGAATCATGGTTACAATAGTAATAATAATAACAATACAGAATAGAAGGGGTTAATTTGTAACTGCTAATAAGAATATTTATGAAAAAAGGTGATGTATTTGTGATGAACATAATAGGTTATTGTGTTACTTCACTGGTTGAAATGATGAGAAGATTGAAGCTAGACCACCATGGAAAACCAAGAAGCACTGGACGGGCGTTTCGTCCTAGTATGGGACTCCTCAGTAGTGCGCATCCACGATTTCACCCCCGTGATTTCGACCAGTGAAATTTCTAAAATCTCCACAAAACACCTTCTGATAATTGTGTTATTACTCGAATTTCTTAAAATTAAAATCATATTAATGTGAGATTAATTAGATCATGTTACGGGTAAGTAAGAAATTTTAAGTGTAAGAAAATCATAAATTTTTTTTATTTGGTTACAATTATAATCAAAATGATAGAGGAAGGTTCATAACGCTTTTTTTCTGCACTCAAAGCTCAGATCAAGAGTGGTTGATAGCAGTTGTCAATTCAAAACTGAATAAAACGAAACGGTGATTGTTTATTATTATAAAATAATGACGGACACTTAATGCGTGTTAACTATGTTTTAAGTGCATAGCGACTGGTGTTGTGAAAACTTTACTGCTTTTCGGAAATAGATTATTAGGAACTTATTCGAAAAACCTAGTAGTAGCTCTTCTCTTTGTACTTCGAATAATCTTGATTTCATAAGTACACGTAAATATACACTGGTTTATAAATTTCACCTATTTCATTCTTACACATATTACGCAACAATTCATACTTTTATAAAAAACAAGATATGAAAATTAATGGATGGAAATATCATATTTTAACTGTTATTGTATATATGTACATAGGGTTGGATGGTAAATCTATAAAATCTACACTATTATTCAAAATCATACTGATATTTTTAAGAAATATAAGCATTGAAAATAATAAAAAGTTAGTAGTTTGAGAAATATCAACCTCGTTTATTATCAGAAATGATAAAATTATTATGATCTCCAAGAACATTATACATAAAAAATTAATCGATTACTAAAACAGTAATCAAATTGATTAGAGAATTAAGTTCAGTAGATAATTCTTAGTGTAGATCGACCTGCTTCAATTGATTCATGATTTCAACTATTGAAATTACCAATTCTCCACAAAACCCATTCTAGTAACAATATTTTTCACAAATGTTTGCTTATTATCTTACATGAGATCTTTATTGAGATCTTCATATTATCTTATTATGTATTTCATTTTACGCAAGTAGATAAGTATCTTAAGCCAGACTTATGTTTTACTGATATCATCATACTGTAAGTCATTTATAACTTTAGAACGATTTCATGTCACGAAATATTGGAATATACTTCATCTATATGTTAAACATTCAATGATGATGTAATAAAGTAACATTTATTAAGATATATACATTTATCATATACCATGGCAAATGAAAAATAAAATAATCCTTCTTAGTGTTTAACTGTTTAAAGCTTGAACTTCTAGATTATCAAGCTTAAATCAATAAATTTAAAAAACGGCGTTAAATTATTCGCTTGGAAATTATAAAATGTAAAAACTAAACACAATAATGTAACCAAGTGTAAATTCCTTATAAAATATATTGAAATCAATTATTCACTTTGTAATTATTTTTATTACCCTTAGTTTAAAAAAAGTTCTTTATAAATTACTAGACATTGGATTAGACTGATTGTGATAGAAAAGAAAGTTGACAAAGTTTTCGTAACTGATTCATATTTAGTACTAGATCTCTAATGATAATCTTAAAAATACAAGCCTGAGATAATATTACATGGCATAATATTATAAAGATTTATAGGGACTAAATCTATATATTAAATAAACAAATGAGAATTACTGTTGATAAATAATTATATTTAAACATATGATCAGTTATAAAATGAAGTATTTGAAAGTAACTAAATTTTATGCCAAATTCTATTGGACAATAATGAACTTTTCGGAGTTCACTTATTAATGTCTAATATGTCTTGGTTACATGTAATTCCTAGTTAAAATATTAATCAAATTGATTTAATGGTGCACAATTTGTAAAGTTTCCTAATAAGGAATACCCCAATGTGTTATTGTATATATATAATTTAAAATGTAATAACCGTTTTATAAGATTATGTATCGTGTACGCTATATTGAGGCGTTAGATGATTGAAAGTAGTTCATACGGGACTCTGTCGGTATATATATATCTGATAGATTAGGCTTTGTTGTAGAATTATTTGTCAGTTTTACAGTGAATATCATGTGATGTATACTTAAATGAAACAATAAAAATTTATTTCGCTTATTCAAAATTACTGCTTTCCTGCACAATTGCTTATTCACAACACATAATTTACTGTGTTTTAATACACTAATAATCAGAGCTAAATTTAGATAAATAAGAAAATGTAAAATATTGTAATGAGTTTAAAAACAAATGAAGCATAATGGAAAATAAACACAGGAAAGCAAACTATATTTGGTTTATTGTTCCGTTGTACTATTTAAACTTGAATTAGTTTTAATTTTGTTATTTATTCTGTGAAGAAGTGACTTACACTAAGTCACGAAACGTCAGAAAATCTAATTTTTCTACTCATTGGGATATTACAAATATATTATTTATTTATATATTTGGTTCTAGTTGATAATTACAGAAAACTAAAATCTATACATTTTCTAGTCTTTATTATATGAGTCTTTATATCTATCCTAATTATCTTTGAATATATCTAGAAGAGTATCTGTCATCACACTGTAGAGTTAATATAACTAACAGTACAAATATATATATATATATATATATATATATATATATATCATTGTCAATTTTTAACTAATAACATAAATGGATCTAAGTAAAAACATTATCAATATCAATGATAACTATAAGTAAAAACAAAACAGTAGAACATAATCATTCTACTTTTTTTAGTTAACTATGAATAAGTTATCATTTATAAAAAAATATAAGTAGTATATAAGTAAGAAGTATAAATAATAATCAATCTAATTGACTTTCATAAAATATTTATTTGTTAGATAGAAATAAACTTGTCATTTGTTATTTTTAGAAATATTTTAGATTGAAGCTTTTTATTCAAAGATTACCAATAATATATATTGATATAATGAATATTTTTCTAATCCATTTACTAATCTAATGAATTTATTTATATTTAAGTCAGCGTATGAGTCTACTATGAAGATACCTATATTTATTCATTGCATCAATGAGTAAGGACAGATACTAAATACAATATTGTTATGGATTTCATTATCATAATATTAATTGTTTTCAGTCAAATTATTGTTAACAAAAAAAGATAACAATGAAAATGTTGTAACAGTTTAGGTGTAAGATTTATTGTACTACTATGTCCCAATTAACTATGAACATAGTAATGTGGTGTGTGCTACTTACATCGACATAAGTAGGATATGATGTTAGTCATCAACAGAATGTCTGGCAGCAGAAAGACAAGCGGATCGGACAGTAAAGAGTGGAAACAGAGTGCAATTTGTATGAAAATGCGAGAACAATAAAGTCTGAGTCATTTTGAGACAACTGATGGACATTTTACAAATTAAGCATTCACTATATGGTTGTTAGATTTTATTTACAAGTCCTGTAATTTTGTGTTAAATACATTCGACTGTCCCTATTGGTGGTTTGTTCACTACAGGAATATGGTTTACCGTATGAATAAAAATGGCTCACATCATACTTTCATTATTTCCTAAAGCCATCAGTCAGAACGTTAAAAAAATTAGACGAATACCTAGCACTATTTCAAAGTTTCATATTTTTACTATGAATACATTGACCAGTATTAATGTATTTTATTATATAGATTTGAAGTTTAAAACACATTATACTATTTAATTTTATCTTTGATAATCATTCTGATTTGAATAATTACCCCAGCTCAAGAAAAAATATATCGGCTTGATATATCAAACTAACTGAAATCATAAAAAATCAGTATTAAACAATGCTTTGTTATATTTCATCAGATATGTTGCAATATCAATGTGAATAAATTAATCAGCCTTAAATTCAAGAACAACAA